GCCCATCCGGTTTACATGTGTTTTGTGGACCCAGAAAAAGCGTATGACCGGATCCCAAGCAAACGTCTGTGGACATGCCTTCGTATATACGGGATAGATGGCCAGCTGCTAAGGGTCATCCAATCACCGTATTGTGATAGCAGGTGCTGCGTCAGAGCTAATGGCGTCAAGTCGAAACCATTGAACGTTGGCACTTGTCTCCGCCAAGGCTGCGTCGTGTCCCCTATCCCGTTTGTGCTGTACATGAATAGAATAATCAGGAGCTGCCAAAGCGATGAGAGTATCGGTGTGGGAGATGTGAAGTCGAGAAGGTTGCTGTTTGCAGACGACCGTGTTTTATTAGCATTTTCTGAAACTGATCTTCTGGGGTCCCTAGAAAGGTTCGCAGCCAAGTGCGAGGTGAACGGCATGCGTGTGAATACATCTAAAACGAAAAGCCAAGTCCTTTCTAGTTCTCCTGCCCACGGCTCTCTTCAGATTAACGGAGAAACAGTGTAGTAGGTGGAGAAGTTGAAGTACCTCGGAGTGGTATTTACTAGTGATGGAAAATTGAAGGAAGAGATCCACCGACGAATTGGAGTAGCCAGTGGCGTCCTGCGTGAACTAGCCCGACCCACTGTGACTAAAGCAGAGCTTAGTCTGAAAACAAAACTCTCGGTGTTCAATTCGATCTTTATGGCCATGCCTACCTACGGTCACGAATCGTGACCATCACAGAAAAGCGTCGAACCCGAGTACAGGCTGCTGCAATGAGCTTTCTTAGACGAGTCGCTGGCCTTACACGTGTCGACATCATCCGGAATACTGACATCCGGAAGAGCCTTGGTATAGAGCCTTTGCTTCTCCAGATTGAGACGTCACACCGGACATGGTTTGGCCACATGCTGCGAATGGCCAGAAAAAGGAAGGCTAAGCAACTGTTCTTTGCAAATCCGACCGGCAGAAGACCCAGGGGACGGACAAGATCAACCTGGTGCAAATATATGGATGGAGTCTGTTCCAGACTTCGATTGTCTATTGCGGAATCTCAGACTCTGGTACAGAATCGGGAACGTTGGAAGCTGCGTCTAACGCGTCTCCCTCCGCGACCCGAAAGGAGAATCGGCGATGGAAGACGAAGATGAAGAAATAGTCAAAAAACCAAGGAACGCTAGGATACAATATCTGAAACAAAAGTGCAAAAGGTTTTTCTTCATAGCCTATACGGGGAAACACCGAATAAATCATACCTTGACAAAGTTTTAACTGTAACTGAAATGATGATGCCTGAAATCAGATGAGGTCATTGGAAATGAACATCTTCCGCATATTAAGTAGCGCAGCAGCTGCAGATCAACGTATTTAATTGTGGCGTTACTGCTAAAGCGCCTGTTGATGACAACTGTGTAAAGAAAGTGCTGCAGATGAAGGAAGACGTCGACTTATACCTGCAGTAACACGATGGTTGAGTATCCCTACAAACAACAAGATTAAAAGACCATGTTCGCTTCGGAAATTAACAAAAACAGTGGCCAATACTCCCCCCCCCTCAGGGTTAGCT